CCCCTTACCAGCTGGCCATACAATTACTCCCCCTATGAAAGGTTTGTGCTGAAAGTGTCTGGTTTGTTTCAGGGACAAGGAAAGGATGCTCCACTGGACTAATCAACCAATAGTCCAGTCCTTCTCAGGTCGGTCCGGTTCTAAATATTCCTGGTAAGAGCCGAGACGGTACAAAATAATTTCAAAGTATACTGGAGCAGAAGTGGAATTATGTCGGAATACAGGTGAATCGTGACGGGTCGGTAAATTATAATCCTCCGGTCCGGTACACAATTATAGGCTCTGACCCTGCACTTTAAGCTGCACTCGGCTCATGCGGCATGCCTCAGTTCAGTTCCCTACTTTAACTAAGTGGGTGCGCTCAGCCTCAGAGAAGTAATCAGTTTCCTTTTGATCTTGACAGGAGACGGACGAACCATGGTAGTCCGAGGAACAACAGCACTTGAAGTGTGGAGTAAACGTGTAACTGCAGGGTATCCTGGAGTAAGAATTGTGAATATGACAACATCGTTTAAGGATGGTTTAGCTTTCTGCGCAATCATTCATCATTTTCACCCAGAGCTTATAGATTTTCACTCCTTGGTTTCTGACAACATTGAAGAGAACTGCAGGCTTGCATTTAACATTGCAGAGAGTAAACTGGGTATCCCTGCTCTCCTGGATCCTATAGATATGGCAACCTGTGCTTCTCCAGACCGTAGATCCATCCTTCTTTATTTATCCGAATTCTACAGTAAACTTGCAACCAATAATCCACCATCTCCAGCTCAAAACCTATCCAAGATCAATCTCAATAGTTCATCCAACCTCAGTTCTTCTCCCACCCGTTCATTCTCCCTTTCAGCCAATCAATCCCCGTCCCTCCCCTCCTCCTACTCCTCCTCCTCCACCACTGCTATAGATCAGTCCTCTCTTTATACCTCCCCAGTGTCTCTGTCCACAGCTGTGAACCATCCAACTAAATTAAATTTGAGCAGTGAACCAAACAATTCTGGATTTACAGATTTCCTGAAACCCCTGGAGTGTCCTAAACCTTGCAACCTGAAGTCTAGGTTAGCCAACCTGGAACTCAGGGATGAGACCAGACCTCACTCCGTCCTACTTAGTAAATCTGCTGAGAGAAAAAACTCTGTAGACTCCGGGTTTGAAACGAATCTATCCTGCTCCATTGACTCTTCCTCCTCCTCCTCCCATGCATCTCCTAGAGTGTCTCCGAGCTTTAGTTCTTCTACACCTCTCCGTCCTGAGTCCCAGTTTAGAAGATATGATGTTGAACTTCCGGAAATATCAAATTTCCCCGAGTGCAACCTTAATTCTGAATACAGAGGGAAGGAAGAGTTTCCGTCCTGCCAGAATCAAATTACTGCGAAGAGTTTAATCACTTCATCCCTCTCCTCCTCTTCCTTCTCTCTTCTCTCAAACTCAGATTTCCATGTTCGTCCTGCATCCCGTCACGGGCCTAGTCTAAAGTACCGAAGGAGTGAGGGACAACCCTTGAAAAAACTGTTTGGTAGTGAAGATAGACTTCATTCCCTTCGGGATTTTGCCTTGAACAGTGTAAATAGTGAACCTGAGAAATCATCTAAACCCAATCATGCAGTTGAACGTATATCTGGAGACACGGCCGAAGAGTCAGTCCCGTCCAACTCCTTTAAATCTGCGTTAAATAAATTTAAATTAAGTGAATCTTTATCCAGTCCCCCGGAGCCAAGTAAGGAGCGGAGAAGACAGCTTGAGTGTAAAACAACACAAACAGATCTCAGTTTACTCGTCTCCAAGGTGTCTCAGCAGGACAAAACCTTGAACTTTGAGAAACAAGGAGAGAATTTGAAACCAGTAGTTGGGACAAAGCAACCCTTGTGCTCTACCAGCTCCAGGATACAGCTAAACCCAGTCATTAAACCTTCAGATCTTAGACGGTCCAGTTTCTCTTCCAAACCCAAACTGGAGAGTTTAAACCTGCTCAGGGTGGACCGGAGACCAATAAGAAATGAATCTCGTCCTATGGTTGAACCCATCTCTCTCCGATACGATTTCTCAACAAAGGAGCCGAAATTGAGGCAGAGAAATAATGAAAGCGTCGGACACACCCAATCCCGACACTCCTATCATTCATCATCGAACCAGGATTATAAATCTTTTTTCACTAATTTCGAGGGACAATCAACTCTAGTGTAGAATATCAATACAGTGTTATTTCCAAATATATATTAAGTTAAATATCGATTATTTCACTATAAATAAAGACTATTTAAATGACATGTTTTTACTTAATGCTTTGTGTAGAGAGAGTATGTTGATAAACTTTGAAAATTGTTAAAAATTAATGATCAAAAAATTAATGATCAGTTTTACTCTTATATCAAAAGAATTGAGTCTTTCCCAAATCTCAAATTTTGGCTTTCCCAAATCTTTGCAACCTGATGTTGTAAGCCTTCGATATTTCAACCAAAGATTATTTGATCTAGAATTCCTAGTTTGTATTATGTAAGGTCTACCGCAGTGGGTTTCGAAGCTACAAGGATTAGAAAATCAGAGTTTTAACAAAGACTCAATTTCTGGCCAACATAAGCTGTGGTTTCCATTCTTATTGATATACTTACAAATTAAACCACTTGATTTTTTTTTTGAAAAATAATAATTTCAGCACTTTTGTAAATGTTTAGGGTAAAAAAAAACCGGACAACTCGTTAAAAATTCCAGAATTTACCCAACGTGATCATGATTCAGGGCCATGGTCATGTTCTTTGTTAAAAGGAGCAAACAAATGTTTAAACATGTATTATATAGCTCACAAACTCAAGATAAGAGTAACTTATGTTTCACGAATCCCTGTAAACCAAAAATAGATAGATTATTAGATTATTGAAAAAAATTTAAATTAGATTATTTTTAATTTCAAAATTCCAAGGTTTCCATAAATAATGCCACAAAATATGTTCTAACATTTATTCTTTCATATTTAGAAGTATTTACAGTGAGACCTATAAAACAATGAAATAGGAAGACGCATAAAAGTTAAGACTTTGAATTGTCCAATCAACATGAAACTCGTCACACAGATCCATTTCACTAAACAAGTTGGTTTTCAAGCTACTAGTAAAACCAAATAGAATAGAGTCAAATATAACGTAATGTTCTCAAATTAGTTGACAAGTTTTCCAAGATTAAATAAAAAAGTGTAAAAACAGAAACTAAAGAACACATAAAAGTGCATTTATTTTACACATTTTAAGACAAAATTATCCCTATTATTAATAATTTTGTCTTACACAAGAACTGAATTGGCACTTGTGACGTCAGAATACAGCTGTAGTGAGAGTGTACAAATACTACGTTGCCATCTATTGTACTAGAATCTATTTGGGTAAAACTATTTGTTAATAACAACATAAAATACACTTAGGATTGCTTAAAGGTCGTCTTTCTTTTCCACGGTTGTATGGGTCCCACCGGAGAAAACCAAAAAGTAAATCTATATTTGGACCAAATATTAAAATTTAAAACTGAAGATGTTTTGGCCTTGATTTCGACTTGTCTAGACAGCCTAGAACTTGTTAATTTCTCATCCTTCATCTAATATTCATCTTGTCTATATATCCCAGTCTATCTAGTTTAAACCTCTCATTCTACATTCAATCTAACAATTGACCTTGCTGCAGGGGGGCACAGAGTAAAACACTGTTTCCTTATTCTACAGGTTTATGAATAGCAGGGGGTCAAATATGTATACTAGAACTATGAAGGTAGGCTGGAAAAGTTTTTTAAACTATCAACTAGAACTAAAATTAAACCTTGCACTTTTTTCTCTCTCTTTCTGATGTATGGATACAAGACTCTCAAACTTATTTAAAGCCTTCTGAAAATATAAACCGAAGTTTAAAAAATTCTCAATTTGGGTTTAAAATGACAGGATTCCGGAAGCCCCTTGCCCTTTAGTTACATAGGATCAAGATAAGAAAACCTTGAGTCGTATTTTACAATAATCTGATTCTGGTTTGTTTTAATGATATCCGTGGTTCTGCATCGTTACATAGTGTTGAAATACTGGTTTCCTAATCAACAATATCCGCCAAACCTTGATTTTTACCATTAACAAGATTTTTCTACCTTGATGCACACTGCATAGATATGCACTCTCATTTATTTTATAATATCGAATACAAATCATGACAAGGACGAAAGTTAAGGTTTAAAATACTTTAAATGATTAAAATTCCCCTTTCTTCCACAGGATTGGTTTTATAATCGAAAAGAAATGATTTTAAAATTTGCATTTTATTTTTTAGGGGGGATTACAGGTTAAAATTTCAATAGAGTTGTTTATAACGCATCCATCAGTCAAAATTGGTATGTACAAGGATTAAGGAAAAAAATTATATGCTCTGATTTATTTTATAATATCGAATACAAATCATGAGTAATGACTAGGACGAAAGTTAAGGCTTAAAATACTTTAAATTATTAAAATTCGGCTTTCTTCAACAGGATTGGTTTTAAAATCGAAACGAAATGATTTTAAAATAAACATTTTATTTTTTTAGGGGGATTACAGGTTAAAATTTCAATAGAGTTGTTTATAACTCATCCATCAGTCAAAAATGGTACGTAAAGGATTAAAAGAAAAAAGTAATAACCAATTTAGTTAACTTGTGGTGTACATGAGTTCTGTAGAGAGAAATTTAAGTTAGTTTAGAACTACTCATGTCCTTCTTCAGTTCTCGTCAATATGATATATTGCTCAGTGAAATATGATTGTTCAAAGAGTTCCATACCAGGAGTTATTTTACACTCTATTATGAAATCCATTAAAACAACAAACCACCCCGCTTATCATTGAAGTACACTTTGACCCCTAGAAGTCATGAGTTCGCGGACTGTAAAATTCATAGATAAGCTATCTATGTTTATTTATTTATCTATGAGCAAGATAGATCTAAATATTGTATATTTATATATATTTATTCAAATATCTCAACCTCTTTAAATGATGTTTGTTTTCTGAAGGATTTTATGATAATATAAACAAGTATTTTCATAAATATGAAAATTCAAGAAACATATCCTAGATGGTTTCGCAACCCTCTCCTTAGATCTGAAGGAGCGGCGTGGCGTACCACAGGTTCACAGATATTGCAGGCCTGACCTCTTACACTTTATCATTAGAAGGAGTATATATATATATATTTACAGTAGGATATTATTAGTTTCTTCAAAACATATATACATCAGATACTAAACTTATATATATATATTTACAGTAGGATATTATTAGTTTCTTCAAAACATATACACATCAGATAATAAAATTATAAATATAACTATAGAGCAGAGCAGTTTCATTTTATTATATTTATTATAATGTACATAGGTTATATAGGTTATATATATATATATATTTTATAAACAGTAGGATAACATATAATTAAACATGAGATATACTAATTTATATATTGCCTGAAATCAGAACTTTTTGTTTAAGTTAATTTCGGGATCAAGCATTTATATCCATCCAATACAGATCTATGGATTAATTGAATTCTTCTTAATTCTTTATCCCGTGGTGTGGTAATAACTTTGATTAAGCTTGGGTCTAGCATTTTTCTTCAAATTTAAAAGTGACCATATTGAAGTTGGAGATCAAACGTCGAAGATTAAAGATACCCCACAGAAAAGTTTTGACCTCTGTGAATATTTGTATTAACAAGTTATAGTTCAACCCATATTTAGCGTTAAACAGGTGTAGACCGTAGAGGTTCTAAATATGCGAATAAATTAGATACCTTGCATATATATATAATATATATACCTTTCACTATTTTGATTCTAATACAAGAGCATCTATCCGCCTACCTACTTTTGGAAATATTTGTTATTTAAAAAAATATTTATTGGCAAAAAACTCGATCTTATTATTTAATACAAATACGGTCTAAGCACTAAGACCATGCTTCAACACAATCCCCCCCCCCCCCCCCCC